TTTAAAAGGGGGGGGGGGGGGGGGGGGGGTTCTGCGTCTAACCTTTTAATTTTATCTTTTCCACTTCTTTTTTATTTTGTACTCTCATACTAATGTCTTCAATTTAATATGAACTCACTTAGTATAGAAAATTGTTTTTGTGTTGATAATTGAGAAAATTAGATCATTGCGCACGTATGCATTCAGCGACTATTCTATCTGACCACGTGTTGCAGGTTGCAGAAGACCGGGACTGATGTAAAATCCTTCTGATTAGTTTCTCCTTGGTGACATTGGTCTTCAGTAAGACACGTGTGCCCTATTAGGGTGGCGAAGCATGTACATATACATATACATACATACATATGTCGAAGCTTGTGACACGTATGTCGAAGCTTTCACGCATACACGGGAGAATGTTATTGTTAATTCATTTAACCTAAAGTAGTCCTTTGTGTTTAGATATTAGACGTGTACATAAATTCTAAAATATTCGCTAAAGTTCCTGGAGTTCGTAGATACCTCGAACAGAAGCGCTTGTCGAACAATTGCATATGGCCAACCGCAATACTCTGGCGATATTTTTCAAATTAGTAAATAATAAAATATAATAAATTCAAGCATGTAAAATCGTATTTCACATTGTTATGATTATTTAGATGTGGGGAATATATTGATTTTCAATTATCTCGTGATTTACTGTCTAACAAAGGAATGGAAAGAATGGTCGTGCTTACACGAAAGAGAGTGAGAATTTCTGAGATATTAAGGCAACACGGATGGCCTCAATCTTATTTTTTTCCAATCCCCAGGGAGTCGTTTAAAAACAATTTGCACTTTATGATGCTCGCGTAATGCGAGTTTTATCAGTGACACCTTGATAAAGGCCTTAGAGACTAATATAAACCACAGACCACTCACTAATATTTTAAACAGTTATTCGAAATGTCTCAGACTCTTCGTTGTTTCGTCTCGTTGACGATCGTTGTTTTTGTATTTTCGAATTTGAACTGCGCCGATTCGATTTCAACTGACGTAGTGCCGCCCAGCCGCGACGCTAAATTCCGTAAGTGATGTAGATTTTTCTGTCGAGACTGAACAATTTTTCATTTAAAATTCTTCTCGTGTGGTTCCTAGTACGATTCCCATGGCTTGGACATTTTTGTAATGGCTGCCCACCCCACGTCTGCGAGGCCGATCCAGCCATCGTCCTCGGCTACTGTTGTGGATGTCGTCGAATATTTGGTGGGTATTTTATGAATATTTATTGATGTTATCTTAGTAGTCTCTGTAAGAGTCTTATCGTTCGATAGATCAACATAATTTGCAGAGATTAAATATCTAGATCGTGATATAAATTCTGCAGGGTATGCACTGCATTATGACTACGTCGGTTATCGTAGACTGAAATTTATGTTACGTTATGTTTCATTGCTACAGTAGTATTTTGGTATGTCTTATTGAGGGATTAAGTACTTATAGGGTAGAACGTAAATTTGCTTCTCACAGGTGCCACTGATATCGCGGTCCGACGTCATGATAAAACCGAATTAACAAGTACGGCCCACAGCAACTTCCCTAGGGGAAATCTTCCTTCTTCGGCACGTATTTTTTCGAATTGTCCAGAATTTTTTACACGTCGCTTCGCTTTTTTAGTATACCTACTCATATGATGTATGTACATACATATGTCTAATATATTGGAAGATCGAGGGTGCGTTTTCTAGCAATCTCGACATCATTATGCAAATGGGATACTGCATATCATGCGTAAATATAAACTGACATATTAGTTTCGGATATTATTTATTTTTAGCAGCGAGACGTTCGTTAAGGCGCTACTAGTCACTAGTAGGATTATGTGAAAAGTGTCGGTGGACTTATTGTCGTGCATGACAGTAATCCTGGGAATTAAAGATTACACCGGGGGATTTGTATTGGGAATAAGGATTTTAGGTTTAGTGTAATCTCAAGTCCTCAGAGGATGTTGACTGGGCGAGACGTTTGAATATCTATAATAAATGGAGCCAAGTATGGGAGGGTTTATATGGGCCTAAGTGAACGCATTTTATTCTCCGCCCATTCTTGCGGAAGAAACACATTGTACTCTAATTACCAGTGAATTCATTTCAGATGTCTTGCCGATTGTTTGTTCCGCAAACGTCATATGCCCTATGGAAGTCAGCGGAGTGTGCCGTGATTACGATTATATGTTGCGCTGCTGTTGCTAAGATTGCGTTGCGTTCTTAAACCTAATATGGCGCATAAAATTGTATCCTTTCATGTCTCTTATATTCAAATTATTATTAATTGGACGAATATAGACTGTGTATGATAATATTATTTGTATTATTAATCGTGCTTCGAGTGCCGAGAAAAAATTAATAGAATGATTAATATATTCTCCACGCATGATATAATTTAAGGGAACTCCGGACCTTTTCATTACCATACGAGTAAAATTCCAACGAAAATCCTAAATAACAGGTTTTTTACATAGATTCTTCCACAAAATGGAGTTTAGCGCACACTTTCCAAGGTTAACAATCATTTTGACGACATCTTCGAAATAATTAAATCAAAACTGAAAGAAGAATCTGACTCGAAATTTTGCACATCTCTTAAGATCACATCGAAACTTTCGGATCGAATTATGTTTTACTCGTATGGTAATGAGAAGTCTGGAGTCCCCTTAGATATCTTTTTAACCTGTTTTTCTGCATTCTTTTTCTTTCTTTCGAGTCAACATCCTAAATTCGAATTCAGTTAAAGTAGCGCCAATAGAAATACAGCGCACATGTTGATAATGGGCAGGTAACATCATTCGCTGTTCCATGTTTTTACTACTTACTGTAGGTGGTGCATCGTTGGTATTCCCCCTCGTGAGAGTTCTGAGTTTGTCAACGAGATGGCGCCGTCAGTACTGTTTCGTTAGCAGTAGTGTATTTCGTTGGATAGAGACCAGCGCTGCGTCTTTACTTATCTATCTGAATTTAAGAGAAACTTTATTACGGTCGCAGTATTCGCAGCATATTCTGAAACATATCGTTATTCGCGATTGCCACAACCCTCATACTTTCTCGATAGAACTTTAATTATAATTGGAAGAACCTCTTTATCGCGACAAGTCACAGAGTCTTGCATCCTGCACGTGCAAATATTAAACTAAAAATGCGAGGTGGTTGTTTATGTTTCTATTTTTTCTCGCAAATAGTTCAGAAGGATGTGGAAACGTCCAGCATTAGAAGGTGAGGCCACCGAGGTTCTTGGTTTCCGAATGGCGAAGTAGCATTGCTCGACTTTTCGAATCTGTCTACAGGGTGGATCAGTTCGTTTTGTGGAAAGGCACGGGCCAGAACGCGGTGATCCTGCCACAAGATTACTGGGAGGATCTCTGCTTTTCTGATTTCGACATTGCGCCATAGTGACTCAGTCAGCTGTAGCTGCAAGCATCAGCAGAATTCCAGGGAGGCAAGAAACGCAAGAGCGACGCACGTATATGGAGGCAGAGGGTTGGAAAAGTTTAAAGGCTAGAGAAGGCACAAAGTCGAGAAACAGTGGGACGAGTTCTTGCTCCAACTGCCTTCGTACTGATCGCACTGGCTGTCGGCCCCGACCCAAACTGGAAGTCTGACACTCTTGTAAGCTTAATAACTACTGAAAATTTATAAAGGTCCTTTCCAGGGTGCATCTGAAACGTTCTATTATAGATTTGTGGAGCCCTAAGTCGCGCAGTTATCCAATACGGACTGAAATTGATAATCGCAATCAGCTCGAGAGAGCGAGAAACCGGCAATCAAGTATCGGCGATTGATCGGACCCCGTCCTGTAGGCACAGCAGCAGAAAAACCTCAGAATCTCGTAAGAGTGAGTTCGCACGTTGACTGTCTTCCAGTAAATCTCAACTATACTTTCGGCAATGGGTTTCAGAGGCATGGTTCACTTTTCCGAATGCTAGCAGATCGTTCGAAGTTTTATTAGCATCGAGTTCCAATTTGCAGGCTCAGCTTTCCATGAAAGTTCGACTCGATGGCGCCAGTCATTATATTAATGGCAGTGGCGGGATCTCGCCGAGCAGTTTGAATATTTTATCGGCATATTTTACACCTTGAGGACTGCTACTGCTTCCCACGGTCACTTTTACTTCTATTTTTTGCTTCCTCATATTCATCTTTCTTGTTGGAAAATTGGATGGCTCTATGCTCGGAGCACTTTTATCACTAAGGACACCTACTTCTCCTTCGGGATGATCTTCTATAGAGTTACTATAGATTATCTCGTTCTGCGTTTCCTCTGCGCTTCCTTTCGTACTCGTCCTCTTTGAACGTTCCAGGTCTCCTGGATCTTTAAAGAAACGCTATCCGATCTTCTCAAGGAGTACCTTTCGATCGGGGAATACCGAATGTTCGAGGGGATAATAGTGTCGAAGGCGAGCAAAATTTCCAAATGAAACGAGAGAGTCGCAGGAGATGCTGCTAGATTTGAAGGAGGAGCTCGAAATTAAGGTCCTTTTACCGTTTTCATACTTTTCTTTGGATTCGAGCACTTTACCTTATGATAAAATAGACGTTTATATTAAAGTAGATTTTATAAGGGTCACCATACAGAAAGTTGTTGTCTATGAATGAAGAATATTCCAGGAAAATCCGATACTGGCTGAATTACAATGGAACCAGGTAAATGACCAGGAGGACGTAATAGGAGACATTCGTAATCGGTCGATCTATAGAAACCGGAAATGCCCAAGGGTGCCGTCCTTGATTCGAAGCTCATTGGCAAACGGCCCGGAAGCACGATTTTCTCCGAATTGCTTTTCCGAAATCGAGGTCTCCCGCTCGTCTTGCTCGGAGATTCTCCTTCACTTTTAAAGAATCGTAATGTTTTTCTTCCGAGTGGAAAACTAACGCGTCGAATTCTTCCTTAGGACGTATACTACAGTATAGTACAGTAGTAGTGACTTATAGTACTATGTACGTGTATATGTATAAGCAAAGTAGTTCTCTTGGGTGTAATTACCGGAGTTGGTGCATGAGTCAGAGCGAGAGGCACAATCCGCGCCTATACGTTATGCAGTCCGCTGAAGGGTGGAACTGCGCAAACGTCTCTATACATCTGTATATGCAGTTGAACAGCAGCCTGCAGAGATATACTGCAAGGTACACAAGGATGGGTGGACGGAGGGTTGGGATAAGTTTCCTCGAGTGCAATTCTTCATTCGTCCGTTTTTCATTGGATCGAAGGTCCTTATTTTTTTAAGGACTAAACATTTTTCACGTGTCTCAGCCAGCTGTCCTTTCGCTCCAAACGATATTTGGCTGGTAAAGAAGAATCGTTCTAGGATCAGGAGAAGCTCAAGCGCACAAATCTCATTGGGCACCTTTAAATGTCTCTACTTATCCACTTATCCATGAGTACACGAGGACTGGAAGTAATGGAACCTCACACGCGTTAGCAGTGTGGATAGACTACGAGGGAGAGACAGAACGAACGGCAGGGCGAGATGAAAGAGATGAAAGAGATGAAAGAGATGAAAGAGAAGAAGGAGACGAAGGAGAAGAGGAAGAGCGACATTGAGACGAAACCAAAGGAAAGGCTCGCCGAGTTGGTCGACGTGTCTTCCTTGCGCCAGCCTGCCTATGCGAGTAGTAAGGCAAGGCAGTAAGGCAAGGCTCCACGTTGGCTGAATGCGCAGCCCCGTTTGTCACGATATCGCGCATCTGGATACATATAGCTGCGATCTTTACTATTCTTTGCTGTTCCTCCGCTTGCAGTTTGCCCAGCTAAATTGACAATCGCATTCGCGCTTTTTATTCCTTGATACTTTGAGACCGGTTCAAGTTCAAAAACAGAAATTATATTCTTAATAAATTGAAAAAATATGAAGGAGGAGAGAAGAAGGATAAAATCTGAAGATAATTGTTTTGATCCCGCTACTTTTCTTGGCTCAACGTATCTTCGTTTTTCCGCCTGTCTACGTCCATCTTTTCATCCCTTTGTTTCTCGCCGTACCTACCGGTTTGGCAGTCTGTGCGGCAAGGATATACTTCCTTTGCTGTCCACTGCTTTCCATTGCTGTCCATTGCTGTCCATTGCTGTCCATTGACGGCGGCGGGGCTACGGGAAGCGCAATGAGTGGACGGTCGAGCGAAAGGTCGGAACGACGGAAGGAGAGAACGAATGGATCAACCGGAGAACGAACCGGCAACGGACGGACGGACGGACACGAAAGGGAAATAGCTGCGTCCGCTTCCCGTTGATTCTTCTCCTCTCTACCAATTTCCTCGACTTCGTTGCTCGAGCCCCTGCTGTTCCCCGGCTGGGATATCTCGCGTGTCCGATGCAATCTGCATCATGCGTTCGGTGACACTAACAAAAGTTGGAACGCGATAGGTCGAGTTGCGTCAGCTGCGAGAGATAAAATGTAAACAGTGTAAATAATAATAGCCCCAGTGTGCACTGGCTAGGTCTAGAGAAAAAATGAGCTTGGGTACTTTTACATTTTTTTTTAACTGTCTGCATGCTCTTACCACTCTGACGTTTTTTTGTCAGAGACATGAATTCAATCTTGAGATGTTCTACTTGTAAAATTTTGCCAAAACACTTCAAGGTAGACTTGATTTTCGCAGCCAGTGGATCTTATTTGAATTTAAGCTGCGGCGACATACGGTCGATTTGAGGGATCAGATCACGCTTTTATAGTTGCGAATCAGTTACAGCCCCTCTCTCTCGCTGTCGCAAAAAATATTATTAAAAAAATAAAATTGGTCAACCTTTGGATTTTGATATTTATGCCCCTCAAGGGAGAGTAGGGCATAAATAACTAAACGCATCTATCTATCTATCTATTTATCTCTCCCCCTTTCCTCCCACCCCTCCGACCAATAGTCTTGCCTGGGTAGGATAGCGTTAAAATAATTAACGACGCGATGAATATCTGACACTCATTTGGCAAAATCACAGGTCTTGTGTTCATCGAACAAAAAAGGAGGACAGCAACGGCCGACGATGGCACGAAAATGATTAGCTGCTTCGATGTTGATCGAGTCATCTTGTACGTGAGTCTTTAGTCCGAGGATGTCTGAAAAAAGACTCCTTTATCGACGACTTATGTCCGTTGGAAGATAACGAGAAATTTCCCTATGGACACGAGCGGAAGATCATGTGATGCTGCTTCAAGCGAGAGTGGAAAAGTGGTCAACCTGGGGGCGAAGACGCACGCGGTCGAGGGAGGGGGCTGCGCGCCGAACCACGCTGAGAGGAACTCCGTAAGATCTTTTGAGATGCACAAAAGGTTCCAGAGACGTTGAAGGAGGCAGAGGGGAAGCAGGCACAGGGCACAGGGCACAGGGCACAGGGCACAGGGCACAGGGCACAGGGCACAGGGCACAGGGATAAAGAGTATGGAGGTTCTAAAGGTATAGCGGAGGTGCTCATGGTCGAAAGGGCCTGAAGTGAGCT